CTTTGATACGCCTTTTGGCTATGCGGTACGCCTTAGGGCAACCACCTAGTACAACAACTAGTGCCAAAGTTGCAAGTACACAACTATTTGGCACATGAACCCTCGGGGTAGGAATTTAGGCCACCCTAAACCCTCAACCCTACATCAACCCACTTGGAGTTGATCCAAGATGCAGCCCTTGTGGCCCTCATGGTGCCAGTCGTGGTGGTGCGGCATCTGCGCAAAGGGGAAGTACCTGCTGTTTAGGGCTTGCGGGCTTTGGGTCTCGGTTTGGTGTTTAGGTTGTACGGTTTAGGGATTTCGGGCTAAGGGCTTAGGACTCTATGCTTTGGTGAGTGCACTTTTGATTGCGGCATTTCAGGAAAGAAGCTGTCAGAAATCTGTGCCGGAAATTGGTGTACATCAGACTCATATAGTGGACCCATTCCCCCTTGTGATGGGGCCTCTGGATAGTTTGTGTGGTAGACGCCCATAAACCCCAAACCCCTACAACATCCTGCCCTCCCCACAGGAACATTCATCTCAATATGGCCCCCTGTTACCCTTGATGAGGATGTTGCAGGTTCCATGTTAGTGGGGGCGGGATAATTTTACTTGCAACCCGAGCACAAGCACCCGAAATCCCTTGAGATGGCAAAAATAAAAGAGGTGGATTAGTAGTAACAGTTATATATACTTCGGTCCCTATGTAAGACCCTAACCCCCCTGTGTTTAGGGTCTCAAATTACCCTGAGCTGAACCAGCAAGTAAGACCAACCTCAGAGCCCCGAAAGGATTCAAAAAGTAGATCCCCTAGAACCATATGGGAAGCTAGTAATATGTGGCTTATATTTAGGATATCACGGGTCTGTATAGGAGACCTGATTTCTTGATCCAACCCTAAACCCTAAACCCTAAACCCTAAACCCCTAAACCCTAAACCCTAAACCCTAAACCCCTAAACCCTAAACCCTAAACCCTAAACCCTCGCCCTTTGAACAGAATGCACCTCTGTAGTTGGTGAGCAAGGTTGAATCCGCAGCTCACGCCCGAGTGCTTCTCCTGCAGGGTTTAGGGTTTGGGTTTAAGGTTTGCGTGTTAGGGTTTAGAAATTAGGGTTTGGAGCTTCGGATTTGGGTTAAGGGTTTGAGGTTTGGGGTTTAGTGTCTAGGGTTTGGGGTTGGACGTTTGGGCTTAAGGTTTGTGGGTTTAGGCTTTAGTGTTTAGGGTTCCGGGTTTGGCGTAAGGTTTAGGATGTACTGTTTAGAGTTTGGGGTTTAGAGTTAAGGGCTTGCCCTGTTGCTTTGTGGGGCAACGGGGAAGAAACAGGACAATGGAGACTACTATACTTGGTAGGCATCTTACCAAACACTAGCGTTAACTATAGGAGTTTTATCTTGGCTTTCCTACCTGGGAATGGGCAAGTCAGGGCTTGTGGTTTAAGGTATCGAGAATGGGGAAACGGTCTATAGAGGTGATTCTTGGAAGATGGGGATTGCAACGGGGCACCTCAGCGGGGTTCAGTATTGAACGGGCGTTTACGGCGTTGAAGGCGTGGGCTTCCAGCGTTTAGGGTGTCAGGATGTAGGAAGGGCGTAAGCCCAGAGCCTTAAACCGCTTTTGCAGACGCTTATGCGCTGAAGCTCCTCAATCCCTAGGCCAGAGATCCTCAACCTTACCTATAACCCCAATTACCTGCAGTTTTAAGGGTATGCCTATGAATTGAGCTAAGCTATAGGTAATTTGGGGTTCCAAGAAAGCCCTCAATCCCAAGACCTAAACACTACGCTCAGAATCCCAAGCCCAGAACCCTCAACCCTAAACCCTGATACCTAAACCCTGAACCCTCAACCCTAAACCCCAAAACCTAAACCCTAAGCCCTAAACCCTGATCCCTGAACCCTAGACCCTAAGCCCTAAACCCCGAACACTGGACCCCAAGCCCTAAACCCCAAACCCTGAACACTAAGCCGAGCCCCGAGTCTCCAAACTCTCGAAGATGCGAAAGAGGTGGGAGAACCAGAAGGTCCCACGGTCCAAAGGGAGCAGTGCCTGGCTTCACCCGTTATCAGTACCAAGAGTTTAGGGTTTAGGGTCTAGGAAGTTCCAAATAAGGAGACCTCAATATTAATATGAACCCCCCAGCATACCATAATAATTCCCAAGCCCCTACCCTAAGGGTCCAAG